TTTTTTTTCCCAAATTACAGCTTGGAAATGAATGGCTAGTGGTGCATGGCAGTAGCTTGTTCACACTGTTTTCTTTCAGTGCTGAAATGGCACTAAAAGACAATGTTCTGCTGTATAATTTTTTTCATTTCAATAATTGTGAGAACTGGCATAAGAAGGTGTTACCATTGTAAGCAGGGAAAAGTAGTGGTCTGTTGAACTCTGAATAGGAGGACATGGGTCAGCAATAAGCTAAAGTGACTTCTAACAGCAAGCTGCTATATAAAACACAGTACTTTTAAAGTAAGAATCTGTCATATCCAGACCTGCTGGCAAAAAGAGTTGATTTGCTTCATATAAGCCAGGAACTCTTTATCATGAATCAGTTCAATAACACCTAAAATGATAGCGTACAATTAAGGTTAGGGTATCGTGGTGTTTATTAAGTATTTCTGCCTTTATCGTTTGTTTGGGTGAAACTCATTTCCTTCTGACATTTCAGGATATACAATTACAAAGAGCATTTACTTAGAGCAAACTGAACAGAAATATTATGAAGGATGTATGAGTGGCCGGTTATTGATTGATAAAGGGCATGCATGCCATCTTCAATATAACTCTTTGTGCAGAAGCATATATTACATAATAGCATACGTTCCATGATAGTTGTTCTTTAGGAAGGTACTAACACCTCGTTTGATTTACTTTTTTTTTCTCTTTAATAATTTTTTATCTTCAAAAATCTTTTCTCAGAGCAAACAGTGCTGTGAAAGGAACCCTCGGTACCATCTCCTGTGACTAGGGGGAACCTCTGAGTTCAAGGTGTGATGGGAACCAAACAGCAGGTAGTTTTTAATCAGATTTGTGATTTTTTTTTTTTTCTTTTTTTTTTTTCCTAAAAGGGCATGCATGCCATCTTCAATATAACTCTTTGTGCAGAAGCATATATTACATAATAGCATACGTTCCATGATAGTTGTTCTTTAGGAAGGTACTAACACCTCGTTTGATTTACTTTTTTTTTCTCTTTAATAATTTTTTATCTTCAAAAATCTTTTCTCAGAGCAAACAGTGCTGTGAAAGGAACCCTCGGTACCATCTCCTGTGACTAGGGGGAACCTCTGAGTTCAAGGTGTGATGGGAACCAAACAGCAGGTAGTTTTTAATCAGATTTGTGATTTTTTTTTTTTTCTTTTTTTTTTTTCCTAAAGGGATGGTTTATTGCTAGCCCTTCCTTCTTTCCTTCCTTCCAGCTCTGGCAGAAAACTTCACTTATTTTCTGATTTTGTTTCCTGTAGCTTAATAAAGTGGATCTATCCAAGAAAGGATGAGCCAGTTCAACTGTGAATGAGGGAGTAAGTCTGCACGGTCACGATTAAGTGGTAAAAGAGTCGGGGGTAAAACCCATCCCTGTTAGTGGCAGCAAGCTGTTAGACTGGCTGGGCTGTCTCTGCCTATCTGACCTTCAAATCCTTCTGGATTTCTTCACCGAAGTGCACTTTTCGTAGTGTGCAAATGATGTGCCTTTCCACAATTTGAAAATGATTTCCCAGGTAAAGGCACAGTTAGATATTTAATGGCTTCTGCATATTGGTGTGGAAATAAAATAATTTCTGTTGGAAGAATCTAGCACAGAAGTTATTACAGAACTGCCTTTTAAAATCATCAGTATCTGTGCATCAGAAAAAGGAAAATGACATTTCTGAGCAATGTCTAATTAAGTATCCATCTGTGTCTGTAAGCATCAGAGCTTATTTTTCAGTCCTCTGTTGTTCTCATTTAATAAGTAAGAAACTAGTCTTTTTCTAGTATCACCTTGAGATTACCTTTTCTAGGACTGCAACTAGAAATGTGAGTGGCAAGAAAGGAAGGGGAGTTTTTCACTATAGTCTCTTCCTCTCTCTGATCTATTCATTTCTCAAGTAGAACTAATTTGGTGCATTTTTTTTCTTTGAGACAAGCCTTTCCTTGGCATAGATATTTTCCCCTGAACTGTCTGTATTCTTCCCAGTGGCAAAGTCTGTTTCAGTCACGACAGGCGCTTTTTTTTTTCCCACCAAGATAAATATCAAGCTCCTTTTTATATACGTACTAATACTTGAATTGTTGACTTTTTAAATAGCTAGTTCAAGGGACCTGGAGAGTATAGACCTCATCAGAGCAAATATTTTTTACACACACAGAGAAACACAAATGACTGTTGACAAGATATACTTCTGTGAAGTTACCAGCCCCTGTGCTACTTTATTGCTGAAAATATAATGCACTGATCCCTGTGTGAGGGATCAAACCAGCGTGGTTTGAGTAGTTAAAGTAAGATCCTGCTTAATAATAATAAAAAAAAAATCTTCTTAAGTGATTGAATTAGACTGTTAGCAAGGTGGCAACAGGTAGACGAAACATGATTTTTTACTGGCTGACAGGCCAGAGAGGTGGAAAGGCAAGCACGGGTGTTTTTTATAGTCCCTTTGGGAGCTGTGAGGTGGATGATGTTCCCAAGTCGGGCATAAGTGAAAAAAAGAGTCTCTGGTTCACTTTGGCTGCCCTTTAGCTCTGCGTCAAGCTCTCTTACTTGTGCTCCCCAGGCTAAAAGGATGAGTAGTGCAGAAGCTGTTCTGCAGTTATTAGCATGAATATTTAAATACATTTCTTTTGGCCAGGCTAATATTCTTCTGGTATGCGTTTGAGCAACCAAATTTTTTCCTTGCATATACATTTCATAACTCTTAGAAAAGATATTTTTCTTTTCAAAGTGGATAGCCAGAGCAAAGCTGGGAATTGGACTAGCAGCTACAATACATATCCCACCCTGTATAACTTGGCCAGTGATTTAATCATCAAAACCTTGTTTTAATTACATACACAATAGGAGAATTATTTGATAATGTAGATTTGCAGATGAAATATGTAGAAATACTGATTTTTATTACAGTATGGAGATGTGTGTATGTTTCATCATGTGTATTCATCATTTGGGTTTGTTGATGCTGTGCTGTGGCTTTAGAAATAAGCTGGTCCCTATGTAATAGTTATTGCCTACATTAAATTACCATCTCCAGAAATTCTTCTTTTAAGTTGCTTTCAAGAGAGTTTTACTCAGTGCAAGTATTGGCAAACATTTTTCTTTTATGTATATGTTCCTATATTTTACAATACGTGTTTTATTCCTTTTTTTTTTTTTTTTAAGAAGTAACATGCTGGTTTTACTTGTTTCTTTTTCCCTTTTGTATTTAGCAGACCTGGGCTTGTCATCTCCATATTTCTTCTGTTGCCTGATATTAACTATTCTTTCTTTCCTTAACGGGTGTTTCTCTCCCATAAATATTTTCATAATTCCCTTGCACCATCCAGCATTTCATTCATTAGCCTGAAGGAAGCATGAACTCTGTTTTAGTGTTTTTTAAAAATTAAGTTTCAAAGTGGGTTAGGGCAGACGGGACAACATTGAGCTTTTACACCACCTTTTAGGAGCAGGGAAGTAGCCTTATTTTGTGCTGCAGAGGGAGAGGAGGAAGCAGCGTGTAATTACAAACATAGAATTACAGGCAGGAAACTGGAGAAGGATTGTTGAGGTACAGAAAAATCTCTCTGAACCATCCATGCTTTCTCTGGCTGCTCAAGTACTAATTGCCCTTGTCCACGGAAATGCGTTTTTAAAAAGGACCAGTAGATTAAATCTTAATACTGCTTTTCCTTACCGACGCTTTTTTTGAAGTGCCATAAATTTATCATTAACTATGCTTCTGAACCCTTAAATTATTTGTTCCGCTCCATTCAGTTGGTAATTGAATGGTCTTTACGTTGAATTCCAAGTGAAAATTTAGGTGAATAACAGAGGGTGAATAATGAAGATAATATGGTAAATACTGATCTCTCAAACCAAATTTCCCTGAAGGTGCTTCTGGGTTGATAGCGTGCAAGTTACCAGTCTGATAAACAGCTTGGGTTTTTTTTTTGTGTTTGTGCTGAAGTAGTGCCATTTATTAAATTAGAACATGAAGTAAAACGTAGGATACTGGGTGTGGGTGGATACTGTTTCTTGCTTTCAGCCCGTACTACGTGATGCTTTTTTCCTGGCAGATTGGAGAGAAACTAGGTCAGCCTGTAGGTTCTCACACAACCGGGACTTATATGGGAGACACGCACGGAGCACTTGAATGGTGTTAGAGACTTCTAAGAAGTCTTTACGTGACTCACCAGCATGGCGGCTCTCTCCTGAGAGCAAATCTGTCTTGCACGTAGCTCGTGCTTCTAAAAACCTTGCCTGTAGATGTCGTGAACCCCGTGTCCTTGACAATTCAGTAGCACCTCATGGTGCTGCTTGTAAATGCATCGCTGTCACGTGAGATCTACCAGCAGAGCGGTTCCCCTGGGAAAAGGAGGTGTCTGTAGTCATGCTCTGTACCGTTTCTGCTCAAAGTGGCTGGATTTCTCCTCTGTCTTGTTGGTACTGTAAGTCTGCAAGTTACCATAAAACCATTGTAGTTTTATAAGGTTGAGGTCCTGTTCAACTGAAAGTAGATTTCTCATAGATACGGAAGCTGAAAACTGCTGGTCTGTCCAGGTAGATGACTACCAAGTCTGGGAATTTTCAGGCTGGCGTGGTTCATAAGGGCTAAAATTCTCCACTAAAATATGTTTCAAGTTCTAGGTAAAGAAGTTAAGCATATGTTACTTGTAATACATTGATTTAAATTTTATAGTAGGAGTTTAGAGTTTATAGTTTAAAGTAAGAGTTTAGAAATATTTTTATTATTTTTCAGATCTGTTTCCATTATTCTCCTGAGGTGAATCACATTTAATGTGGTTTCAATACCGTCTTCCATGGGTGTGTATAAGGAAGAATAGTTTGATGTAACAGGATGAGTTCACTAGGAAAAAGGTAAACACAGAAAACCAAGAGGCTACTGAAGCACACCGTCTGCAACGGAAAACCATGAGTTGTTTGGGTGATACTGTGCAGAGCAGGACTGAGTGAGTTATCTGGGTAAAACTGTTCTTACTGTTCTGTTCTCGTGCAGGCCGCTGTCTTGCTGAAGTCCATATCTAGTCCACCCAGTCTTAAAGACTGCGTGCTTCATGCTTTGAGAACAGGAGGACCTCGGCGTTCTGAAATGAAGATGGAGGCGGCGGGAAAAGCAGAAGAACTTGTGGATTCAGAAGTTCCACCAAAGACTGCTGAAAAGCAAGAGACTGCTCCCGACGAAGACGGACCTATAGAACTCCTCGAGACGCCGACCCCAAAGGACGACGCGGCCCCGGCAGCGGACTCTGCGGTGCTCTCCTCCATGCCTTGCTTACTGATGGAACTGAGGAGAGACTCCTTGGAGTCCCAGCTGGCCTCGACGGAGAGCGACAAGCCAGCGGGCGGCCGAGTGTACGAGAGTGACTCTTCCAATCACTGCATGCTCTCCCCTTCTTCCAGCGGGCACTTGGCTGACTCAGACACGTTGTCTTCCACGGAAGAGAATGAGCCCTGTCAAGCTGAGGCTGCTGTAGAGGGAGACCCTTCTGCGGCGTCCGGGGCTGCCGTTGGGAGGAAATCCAGGCGATCCAGGTCCGAAAGTGAAACTTCCACAATGGCTGCCAAGAAAAACCGACAGTCTAGCGATAAGCAGAACGGCCGAGTTACCAAGGTAAAAGGTCACCGGAGCCAAAAGCACAAAGAAAGAATTCGGCTGCTGAGGCAGAAGCGGGAGGCGGCCGCTCGCAAGAAGTACAACCTGCTGCAGGACAGCAGTACCAGCGACAGCGACCTGACCTGCGACTCCAGCACCAGCTCCTCCGACGACGACGAAGAGGTTTCAGGGAGCAGCAAGACAATCACTGCGGAGATACCAGGTAGAGGATGTTTTTTAAACTGAACTCTGTAACGCGCCTGACACCGTTTCTCAGCTGTCATACTAAATTTCATGAGTGACACTTGAGAAAATCCAGGAGAACTGCAGCTCTGTGTAAATTTGAAGACTGCAGTGTGTTAACAAGACATGGGCAGATCTTAAAATCTGTTCTGGGGTTTCAGTGCACTTTTGCACACCAGCAAAGCGTAAGAATGGGGAATTAGAGGAAGGACTATCTTTGAATTCTGGAATTTTCAGATCTTTTCCTTTGTAAGCCTATATGAACTCCTAGCAGTGCTTTCAGATCCCGTTAGATGGTAATAATCTAATGAATACATTCTTAAGATAAGTGGCCAGCTTTGCTTTGATAACATTAAGACCACAGCTTGGCAGCTGTGTTAGAAATAAGGTCTCATACCTCTTGCCCGTGTTACAGTAAGACTCTCTTCACTATTGCACTTACGCTGTGCTTTTCAGCTCTACGTTCTGGTGCATGACATACCTACTCAGCCTTATTGAGAATTCTTGCAAATTGCAGCTGGTCACCTATTTTAGGACATAACTATGAGTTTGTTAACGCAGGTGCCCAAGCTATATCCACACCTAAATTTTCAAACATTGTAGATGAAACTGTTACCCTTTTCCTGTGTCATAAGGATCTATAACTTCTATACTTCTAATTTTCTGACACGTCTGTGTTAAGACAGGAGGCAGCACATTTAGGGGCCTTCTTATGATTTTGTTAGCAAAAGAAAGATGAACTCTTTAGGTTTGTCTGCTGAGTCTTTGCTATTTTATTAGCCCAAGTGCCGTGGACAGTATTTTGTTTGAATTATTCTTGCAGCGTATTATACCATAGAACCGTTATCATATGGCAATCTTCATATGGTAATCAAAAATAAAATCGCATAAAAATAAACTTTTTGGCTTGCCAATTTTTACTGGGTTACATGCCTTTTTGCCTCTTGTGCTGGAAGGGTTTTTTTCTTTTTGGAGATAAATATCAGCTTACACAGGGCAAGAACATTTAAAGGAAAACTGCAATAATTAGTCTTAAGTTGCTGAACCTAGTGTTTGCTAGATGAGTTGTTTAAAATATTTGCAGCAGATTTTATAAATAATTGTGTTTTGACTGACTTGATTATGGTGAATGATTCTGCCACCATGAGACCTGGCGTTTTTCCCACATATTGCTAGGAAGCAGGTTGCACAAAGGAAGTTAATGTCTATTTATTAGGAAGTTTCAGGAGGGCATAGTCCTCCTATAATTATTGTGTAGTAAACTTTTAATAGAGATCTAAAATTATTTTTACCAATTTAGTAGTTAGTTAGGTTTCTAGCTTTCCTAGTTTTGTGTCTTTTTATTTACTATATTTATACTTTGCTGGGGAATTTGAGCCTGATTTAAAGCTGGTTGAAGAACACCTTTTCATTGAGTTTTGGGACAGGTTCCTCCCCACTCACGAAAAAAACCAAACAGAACCACACCATAAATCCCCCCAGGTTATATTCTTTTTTAAGTCATAAAAGTATACCTTGTGACCCAGAAAAGCACCACATGGTATTTTCAGGTCTGCCTGGATTTCTGACTTCCATTGCAGAGATCCCACTCTGTGATGCTTTTTCTGTGTCACCAGGCTCTTCTGCATTTGAGCTCTTGGTCTTAACTGCAAGATGCTTTGCAGTGAAAAGGTCCCGTTTTACTGTAGGAAATAATTTGGTTATTTAGTGATGATTACACCAAGGCCTGATTTTCACCTGTGGAGCAAGATGTGGGAGTGCAAAAACCATCCTGAGGAACAATGACATTTATTCTTATTTCATAGCATGTGTCGTCTGCTTGATACTAAATTCCGTTTAAGACTTTTGGAATTAGGTGCAATGCATACCTGCCACATTGTGGTTTTCCTTTAAATGGAAACGACTTTGGTTTGTGGGAAACAGTCAATAAGTACGAGAGAGAAATATTTTCTATAGAGGTAAGGGTGAGGTTGGCCAAAAAATGCATCCTGCGCTGCTTGTGGGTTAATGAAACGTTGTGGTCTGAACAGATGGGGTGGAGCTGAGAGAGCCTGAGCAGGACTCCCAGCCCTCCCTCGCAGTGGTAGGTTCATATGCCATCTGCGATCCTTCTTCTTGGAAAAGGCAAAATGCTTAACTTACTTTTTTTTTTTAATTTTTTTGTGGTTTTTTTTTTTTTTAGAAAGCCATTTTAGTGCACTTAGCGGTACACTGTGAATATCCTCAAAGTTTAGGGATTGAACACTTAGTTAGAAAATAATACAGGGTAAAAAAAAAAATAAAATAGCAGTAGTGGAAATTCAGGCCATGAGTGTCTTCTGCACCCAATCAAAAGCTAAGAGAAAGTTTCAGGTTTAACTTGATACTTGAACCTGCGTGTCGGTAAACTACAGTGCACCTGTCAGAAGGACATAAGCATGAAAAAACTTTTGCCTTTGCTTTAAAAAAAGTCTGCACACATCAGTGCAGAAGAGTTTTACAGGTGGCCTGTGTTCCCCTTAGTCTGACACTATTGGGACTCTTCAGCTGTAATGTTGGTTACTGTCTAAACGTGGCTTATTATTGGCACTGATTTCCAAATATCTACTGGCTGAAAAATAGCTTTGCCAACAGAGATGCTCTAAAATTGTTAGTGACAGTTAATTTAAGGTGGCCGTCATGTACTAAGGCTATACATACTCGGCCTCTTAACCTCCTATTGACATAGGTAGTATTACAGAAGGCAGTTCACTTGTGTGTGGTCTGAAAATTGCAGTGCCACATTCGAGAAGACAGTCATCTTTCATGTTGTGTAACTAAACCTCTGCCATTTTAATAGGGCAGTTATGTTTTTTCAACCCCCCCACATGTCTGGTTCTGAAAAAAGCTTGGCTAAATTAGTAAGGTGAGGAAGGTGTTCAGTGAAATGCAAATTAATGCCATGAACGTGTGTGGTGCCATTAGCTTCATTTTGTGTGTGCACCCAGTTGTGCGATAGTCAGTTCTGTCTGCTGAACTCGGATGTAATGTGGATTAAAATACTGGCAGGCTTGTTTTTCTTCTCAAGAGAGACTGAAGAGTGAAGAGTTGGGATCTTACTGCTGATGCTTCAGTACAAATGTTTTTGAGCTCAGGAGTGAAGCACAGTAGGTGTTGTGTTATTCTGCGTGCATTGTGTGGTGTTAATTTACACCTGAAAATACAGGTTCAGTCTAAACTTCATTATGACATCAGGGAATGCCATGATTTTTGAATTATTGCAGATGAGGAGCAATTTCTTACCTTTTAGTGATTGAGCCTCTCTGTTGGATGTAGCATTTTACATGGCGTAAGAGGATGGTCTTTGAGTCCCAAAATAGGTTCTGCGAGACCTGCTGCTGTTAAAGTTTTTCCTTTAAAACAATTTCAAATTAGACCATGGAAATTAACTCTGAATTAAATTGGCATGAGAGCAAGTATGAGAATTTCTTTGCAAACATTTCCTTTGGGAGAAGGAAAGGGGTTTTGAAAATTCAAATATAATATGGAAATACTGGCATTTCACCGCCATTGTGCTTTCTACAACTCAGGAAAATATGAATTATGAATTGAAACAGGAGTGACTCATGTTTTAGGCTTTCAAAAAATCTGTTAAAAAGTCTGAGTATTGATGTTAAAAAAGGTGTTGCAGCTCACATTTTAAAAAAGAAAAGGGTTTTTAATATGTAGGAACCCAAAGAGAGGGGAACAATGTGTGTGAGGGACTCTTAGCCAGGTTACCTCCTCCTAAGAATTGTGCATAGGCCTTGGATGAAGTAACTCAGAATAAGAATTACAGAAGAACAGGGTGAAAATAATATAAAAATCTGTTGAATGATTTGTATTAAGATACCCATTTGGAAACGTTGAGTAGCATAATGACACAGAGGAATCCACCATTGCTAATTACAATGAAGATGCAGCATGTGTTCTTAAATTGTTGCATTGTCAAACTTCCTAAATTAAATACCTTTGGATTTGGTTGTTCTTTACATAATATTGAATAGATCCCGTAAAGGTCTAGAGACAGCATGAGGGCATTTCTTAGGTGCTGTTTTGCAGGAGGTACTGTCTTGAAAATAAAATAGGAGTCTTGGCTTCTGACCCCTTTGTATTGCAAATTTCTTTGCCTTGTAACTTGGCATAACTTCAAAAAACGATAGAGCTGTAAGTTTATAGACAGCAAAGGAACCAGTTAGGTAATATAATAAAATAAATATGCATTTAGTATAATAAAAATGCATGTTTCAGCTAGATTTTCTTTTTAACCCTGAGGACCACCAGGAAAGAAAAGGTTGAATAGGGCTTTTTATAAGAACTGCAAAGGAAGCATCTGAAGCATTGATTTGCTGCTACTGTAAATTGTAGATATACTATGAATGATGCCTTGTAAAAATAGTATTGCAGGGTAATATATATTTTAATATCTGCTCTCTTCAGGTTACAGAACAGTTTTGTCAACTTTGACCATGCTAGTTCATTCTTAACTTTAAAAGCCTAGCTAGATTGTCTCGCATGTCACCATCAATAGTTTTTATTTAAATTGCAATTAAAACTTGTTCAACATTACTTAAAGGTGTCTGACCGTAAGCCTGTGGAAATCAGAAAGACTGCCATTAAGTTACTTGATCTTAGCATAAGATCTGTGAATAAAGACACAAACAGAATCATATTGGAATTGGATGTACATGAACATAAGAAATGTTTTTTTCAGGGAGGAAGAAGACACTGAATATACAAAAGGAACCACAATTTAGGAAAATGGTACCTTTTCACTGAATTACTTTTAGTTAGAATGTAGTCAGAGGGATGTAAATTAGTTGCTGTAAAGTAATATATTTTTGAGCAGAGGACCTGAATGCTGAATTTCGAGCCTGTCTGACATGTAAACAGATGGGAGAGAACAGTTAAAAAGTAGGGCTTTTAATAGAAAGTTTTTGGTCCCTGACGGGTCACGTTGCTACTGCTCAGAAACGAAAGAAT